CACTGCCAAACTCTCCAGGGCCACCAAGTGAGGGCACCTCCCTCTGGGTCCTATCAATAATTGAGTCTATGATAGGAGCCAAAGATTTCCTGCTTTTAAAAATGTGGGAACCCTAACTTTTCCTTTCTTTTGTCATATTTACTACTAACTTGACTCTAGAGAGCACATTCCTTGGTTACTAAAGTGGGTAGTTTCATGCAAGACTTGCAAGTAAGAGGGAAATTTTGTTGATGTAAGCATTTATTTATGCAGGTCACCAAATCATTGGTGTACACTTAAAGATGATGTAAACAGTATTTTATTTATTTATTACTTTTATTAAAGAACCTAACAAAAGAGATGCTGAAGTTTTAGGATCTTGCTCTGTGTCTAACTGTCTGCTAGGTGAGTGCTCCCCCTCCGGACCACCTTAGCTTGTCAGATGTAAATCGATGCACTACAGATGAAGCACTTAAAGGGTTATCTTTGAGACAAAGCATGGAACGGTCAGGACTCAGATCAGACATTCGAATGTGGCCAAATGGCTTGGGCAGGTTAACTGACCTGAGGATGCCAGCTATCTCACTATGAAACCAGGAGAACAACCTCCTTCAAGTGAGCCGGTGACGGCAGTGAAATATCTGAGAACGCCCAGCAGAGCACGTGGAGGTGTTGAGAGAAACCCACCACCCGCTTTCCAGCCTCAGAATCATGGCAAACAGAGCTAAGGACAGACTCTAAGATACTGCTGGTATTGAAAGAACAGCTCCTACTGGATGATGAAGACATCCAAGTCTTTTCATTTCAAAAAGAGACATCCTATTTATTTATTTATTTGTTTGTTTGGGGCAAGAACATGGGGTTTGGAAAGATGCTGAGCTTGCTAGCTGCGTCTCCCAGAGAAAAATCAGCATTTCAGATGGAAGCTTTTGGAAGGCTCCTTTTTCCCATCACCAGGAGCCTGCTGCCTGATGAAGAAATGACCGTGTCAGGGACGGCAATTCCCCTGCACTCGAGGATGCCAAGAGCAACCCAGACTGGGGTGTGGCTCCGTGGTAGGGCACATGCTGAAGCCCCGGGTTCAGTCCCCAGCACTGAAAAGTAAAGGAACCATCTTAGACAACTCAGTGCAGATGCACTAACACCACCAGAACACGGGCCTGGTGTTAAACCCACCCAGCCTTCGCTCCATGTGTCTTCTGTTTCATTACAGCCCTGAGGCATCTCAGGAGGAAGGATACTTTCCTGCCCACCCAGGCCCGCAGAGCTGAGGCTTTCCACACTCTCCACTGTAGCTCTTGCCTCCAGCTGCCCCGTGTAGTCAGTAACTGTCCGCCTAGAATCCCGTAATTCATTCTCAAATAAAGAAGAAGGAAGAGGAAGAAGATGCCAAAGTAGAAGGCATTTTTGAAATCCAACGTAATTTATAGCATTTGCATTTAAATCGTTTCTTCCCAAGTTGCCACAATATTGTTAACAAGCCTGGAACCCTCGTTCCACTCTTCAAAACCTGCTGTTAAAAACTGAACACGTTTAGATGTAAGGCATAATCAATTGAAAGACATCGTTCTCTACCTGAGGAAGGAGTATATTTCCCAGCAACAATCAACTCTCACTTAGGAATTGGAAAAGCCTTACAGTACCATCGAAGGGGAAATGGCCCTGGCTGGGTACAGCGGACTTCCTCATTTTCTCCAAGGGTCTTTTGATGGGGGGACATTTGTGTCATGAGAGGAACTGAGAAGTGAAGTGACCACCATAAAAAATCAGAGTCCCGGAGTGGAGGAAAGGGGGTGAAGACCACGTGGGGCAGCTGGAGGCCAGGGCTGCGGTGGAGAGTGTGGACATCACAGCTCTGTGGGCTTCGCTGGGCAGGGAGGCACTGTCAGAACTGAAGAGAGCAATATGGCAGGGTGGGGGTCCTCGGACAACATACCTGGAGAAGGACTTTGAAAACAGCGTCGGCTGCCAGGGAGGAATCATAGGCATGTAGTACCCAAGGACGTGGCGTTTTCTCACTTGAAAACCCACGAGGTGAATCAGCAGTTCTCACACATTTGGGTCACTGGAGACTCTTAGCAAATGCTCAGGAGCTTTMATTTATGTAAGTCATGCCCATCGCTATGTTCCACAGGAGGAACGAAGACGGAGGAAATCTTAAACCAACACGAGAATATACAAGACTAGAAGGTAGGGGTGTAGGCCAGAGGTAGGGCCCTTGCCCAGCATGTACGAAGCCTTGGGCTCAAATCTCTCTCTCTCTCTCTCTCTCTCTCTCTCTCTCACACACACACACACACACACACACACACAATATTGCATTTCATTAGCCATCTGAACAACACACTTCATGTAGCCTCTAGAAAAATGCCATCGTGTACTCCAGAAAATAAGGATTTAAAAGACAAGTCAGGCCTGGTGGTCCATGCCTGTAATCCCAGCTCTGCAGGAAGCTGAAGCAGGAGGGTCTCAGGTTTGAGTCCAGCCTGGGAAACATGAGACCCTAAATTTAAAAAAAAAAAAAATAAAATTCAAAAGGCAAATAATATCTTAGTATTATTACAAAAACAACTTGACAAACCCCTGTGGGGGTCTCAGGGAATCCTAGGGGCCTCTGAACACACTTTGAGAATCCTGATATAGAGCGATCCTGAGTTTTCTGGAGTCTCCTCCAGGACCACAGCTTGGGTTTGTCAGAAGAGGCAAGTGGACAGTCCCAAGATTTCCCACCCTTCTCCCATCAGAGAAACATACTTCTTATTAAAGAAACTTTTATGTCCTATAAACATTTACATGCCACATGACCTTTCAGTGAACAACAGACTGGACCTTCAGTGGAGGACTCTTAGGATTCCATCTCCAGTGATGTTGGAGATGCTAATGATGAATTAGTCAAGTCATGCTTAGACACTCTGATGTCCAGCCACAACAAATCCCTGAGGATGCATCTCTCAGAGAACCTAGAAGAAAAAAGAAAAGAAAAAGTGCTAGGGGTGGGGGGAGGCTTACCCAGGCTTACCCAGGATGTGCAAGGCCCCAGTTCCATCCCCAGCACCTCAAAAACAGAACAAAACAGAATTGTAGTTTTTTAAACCACTGGTGCAATGTGTATTGTAGGCACAGTACTTATTAGAGAAAAAAAACCTGAGGATTAGGAAAGATGATCTTTATTCTTAAAAGGAGGGAAATATTTCAATCAAGCATTGATATTTCAATTGTAGGAACAGTATATATATATATCCTAAGGTTTCTAGAAAAATCAAAAAAGTATGTGTTTCAAGTGAGGAAAATTTCATAAAATATACTAGCAAAGAAGACATATCATAACATGGAGAGAATATTATAAAATAATGTATTACAACTGTTTTATAAGTAAATATGTTTACTCAGAAATTGTTTAGTGAGTGCCTTGAGTGTGCCTGGCACTAGTCCGGGCATGCATTGAATATAAATGCTCTTTTCTTTTTCTTTCTTCATTGTAATGCTGGGGATGGAACCCAGGGCTTCACAAATGCGAGGCAAGTGCTCTACCACTAAGCCACAACCCCAGTTCATAAATGCCCTTTTTAATTTAAAAGGAAAATCAGCATATTTGCTTTGGAGGTTATGAAGGCAAGAGAGGGACAATCGGGGTGTAGCATCTGCAGCCACCTTGGGGACCCTGGGGACACTCTGGCAATGGGCTGTGGCAGTTTTAAGAGAGGGATCTGTCTCTCTTCAGGAAGTCGGTTAGTTGGAATTTGCCCTCAGGACGTTACAGGACCAGTTACAAGACCCACGAGTCTCCACTGCTCTGTCCTTGGATATCCTGAACACCCCTCAAAATGACCTCTGTCAATGTGTGGACCATAGAGCTATCAATATGGAAAGGTTATGGAATTAAAGATGCTAATGATGAACCAGTCAAGTTAATCAGAAACTTTTTTCTTAATAACATACACCTATGTCTGCAGCATCCTGATCCAGAAATGGACCATGACAAGCCCTTATGGGGTCCCTTGAAGTCAACACTGTCCTCTTTGGGGAGCCCACCTGGGACTTCTCACTGGGCAGGCTGCTTTGCAGCACCTGAGCCGTGCGTTCATGGCAGTGTGCGGGACACTCCTCGCAGCTGCACACCACGTTGTGAGATTGGGCCCATCTCTGGACGGCTTAGGCTGTTCCTCTCAGTGCTCCGTGACTGTCTGCATGTGATGTGTCACAGTTTGTGTGTGTGTGGAAGTTCTTTCCCACATACCTCTTATCCATAGAAAAGTTCAGAACTTTCCTTATGCCCAGGAGGGATCTGCAGAGACACTCGCCCTCCCTTGTCCACTTTAAATTGGCCTGACCAAAGGAATTTTTTTGTTTGCCTTCCATATGGAAATTAGAATTGATCCGACTACAAATTAGGTATCAATCACTTTGACGAGGAGTTATGGAAAGGATAAAGGGGTTAATATGTGGATCACTGTCCAAAGAAACCAGCCTGGCTCTTGATGGTGATCCGTTCTCAAAGGTGGGAACATGTCTGGGGTTTCTTTCAGGTTCCAGGACAGTGCCCTGCGCCCAGGGCTGCCAATCAATGTCTGGTCCTGGTGGACAGAGCTCAGGGAGGGTGGAAGGGAAACAGCACTGAAACAGGATACAAAGGCAGGGGGTGGGGGGAGGCACCTAAAATTACCACTTTAGAAAATAAAACGACGTTTGTGCACAGAATAACACAACTTCTTATTTGCACAACCCACCTCTGACATTAATCAGCGCCTTTACCTTTGTGCAGGATGTCATCTTTTCCAACCCTAGTAGTTTACAGATTTTGTGCTTTGAAGTGGAGGCGGGGGTAGGGTTGAGGGGAACCATCCCTGCCCTAAAAGGAATGAGGAAATGAGAACTGAGCAGTGTCTGGCTGGCTCGGTCTGTGTGACAGCCCGTGATGTTCCTTCCGGTCCCAGCAATATTGTGAATTTCCACCTGCCCGCCCCTGCAGTTTATAACGAACAGCACATGAAGTTAGAGCAGGTCAGTCCCTCTGCCAGTGGGTTAGCCAGAGCGGAGTGACATGCCGTGCCTCTCCTTTCCCACAGCGCACCCGAGATAAGAGCACTCTGGCCAGAGACCCTCCGAGGGTAAGTACATAGAACTAACAGGACTAGCAAACGAGCTGCCTCCCAGGTCACAGCTCCCTGAAATGAAGTGCAACAGAAAGCGGCGATGCGGAGGGTATGTCCGTGTCTAAAAAGCTCCAAACATGGAATGCTTGGCTTCAATGTGAAGGTGGCACTTTTAGGGAGTAGGAATTCTTTAAATGTTATCTTTGGTTCGTGCTTACTATACGTAGCATCCTGGATATACATTTTATACTTTTTGAGTTGGATGAAAAAAATAATACAGAGCAATTAATATAGTACTTGAGAGCTCTCCAGAAAAAAAGGGTAGTTGTTATTGGAATTCATATTCAGCCGATCTCTTGTTGAGGATATAATAATAAATAGCAAAGTTCAGGATAGTAAGGACATCTGGTTTAAGGATTCAGAAATAAGTGCCATCAAATACTGTTCTTAGTGGCATCTGACATTTGGTAACAGGCTGAATGAAAACTTTTCTAACAGTTTCAAACTCCGCTTTGGCAAAGAGGCACTGAAATTGGCCAACTTATTCTTTTCCATGTGATTTATTGTAGACAGAGTCAAGGTCCCCCAGAAGTGAAATCCATCCCTAAAAAGCCAGCCCAGATACCAATGAGGTTGAGAAGCAACTTTGATGCGGTATGTGCCCATTTTACATCTGCTTGTTCATATTTTCTAGAGGCAAGAGCCAAAAGACATTTAATTAATTTAATTTTATTTTTTTCTCTTTTAGTCAAAAACACTAAGTGCCAGTAACATGGAGACATTAATTGAATGTCAGTCAGAGGTAAGGAAGTGATTTTTTTAAACTTCTTATTTGTATTACCAGAAGATGAAAAGCTTTCTGTTTTAATTGAATATTATTTAGGCTGTTTGATTATCAGTCAGAAATGAACATGATAAATGCAACAAATTAAACATATTAATTGAGATCTCCTATGATACTGATTCTTACCAGAAAAATCAATACACTCTATTGACCTAATTGTTAAGATGAATAAAATGTTTTGTGTTTGTGGAGAAAGACTGAATAGATTTCTTCAGTCATGATTTATACTGATTGATACGTGATTTATATTTTTAGGGTGACATCAAGGAACATCCCCTGTTGTTGGCATCATGTGCGAGTGAAGACAGCATTTGCCAGCTAATTGGTGAGTTTTGAAAAATACTGGTCTTTTCTGCAAGTGCTAACGACCCGTGCTCTTGGTTTGCAAAACCACAGTATTTTACTCTACTAGGAATTTTTTTTTTAACTGTTCTCCTAAAGACCGCAGAACATTAACCCTTAACTGGCCGGTGTGCTCCAGCTCACTAAAACAGCGAGCACCGTCAGTACAGAGATCCTCTTACAGGCAAACTCCGCAATGCGGGAGGTTTTTAGTGGGGCTGACAAATCTCTTGGCCACTTGTTTTGATGGTCACAGCGTGCGTGTGTACATTGAAAAATACACAGTGSCTTTTCTGGGTTTCCCTTCCCTAATGGAGAATGCATCTAAGAGCTCGTGAAGCGATTGTTGTTGCTCTCAAATCCCAAAGAACCTACATTTGCTCTTATTTATTTACTTATTTTTACGGTGCCTTTCATGGTAACATAACCCCGAGCCCGTTTTCCTGAAGACTCAGGACAGGGCACTTCACTTTCATCCAGCTTCTACTTGCCAGTACAAAGCCTGTGGTAACATATGCCAGTCATTTAGAGAATGCAGATTTCATGATTAGGCCAAAAAGAGAAGGAAGGGAACTTTTGAGATACAATACTCATTGCGCACTCTGGATTTTTGGAAGAACAGAACACTGATAATGTGTGGCTGATAACTTTCAAATGCCAGGACTAGGTTCCAGCCTTCCTAAAGCAACCCTAAAGCCAAGGGGACAGCAGAAGTCCTGAGTGGTGTAGCTCCCTCTAGTGACCACATAGTGCTAGTGCGGCTGCCGAGGGTCGATGGGGCCCGCCCAGCCAAGAACCTTCTCAAGGATCTTGGGCAAGTCACTTCCTCTCCTGTTAAGTTTTGTTTTCATTCACCAGCCAAAGTATCGAATTAAAATAATCTATTTAGTCATATATCTCCCCTGTAGTTATTAAGGCTAGTACCTTAAGATGGTTGTTTATGACCCGCACAGTTATGTTTTGCTAATTTCTTGCAACAAATAGCTGAAGAAGATAAAAACAGGAAAGGTGGGGACCATGAGGAACCTCCGTGTGATATACAAGGGCTGGTTGCCCTGGTAACCATGTGGTTGTTTTTTCAACTGTTTTTCTAGATCAGAAGTCATGCCCTTGGCTTTCTCAGTTTTTCTGAATTATTTCCCCACACGACTTACTAGAGATGCCAGTGTGCGACCCACATAGCCATTTCCTCGGATCCTTGCTTATGAACCCTGTAAGCTGATTTTTCTCTTTCTCATGCTTTCTTGTCTCTAGAAGTTAAGAAGAGAAAGAAAGTTCTGTCCTGGCCCTTCCTCATAAGAAGACTGTCCCCTTTGTCAGATTTCTCTGGGACTTTGGAGCCAGACTTGAAAGTGTCACTGTTTGATCAACCCTTGTCAATTATCTGCCAGGAGAACGGCGCCCTGCCCAGACCCATTCAGGTGAGTGTGCTTCACTTGTAAACCTGCTTTGGTTTCTGACATGTGACAGATCCTTGGATAATAGGAGGGTGCTTCTCCTACTAACCTTATTGGGGTTGAGCTTTGGAATTTTCCATTCTTGCAAATGGGGCTCCCACATCCAAGCACAGTTGGAAGAGAAGATGCCAGTTTATGTTCTAGAAATTAGTGTTTGCCAGTGAGCTCAGGGTGAGGGTCTCTTCCTCAGTCCTCTGACTTCACAGAGGCAAGAAGGCTGGAAACGTATAGCTTCTGAACATCAACAGGCAGAGACAGAGTACAGAGGATATGATCAGAGAGCCCACGTCTTCATGGAAGTATCGACAGGTGGGAGGCCCGATGTCATTTTAGGCTGAAAAATGAGCGCTTCACAACATACCTCTTAGAAAAATAGCAGGGTGAAGGGAGACAGTTGGCAGTGGCTGCCCTAGGAGCCAGCTCTGGCCTCAAGACTCTCGTTATGACTATCTTAGTATAAAAAAGAGAATTAGCTTTGGGGGGAAAGGATATTTTACGACAGGTAAACTGAGGGACTATTCCTGAACATTGTCTTAATTCTCTTTTTCCAACTTGAATAGATTTTCATGTATCTGTACCAGCAAAGTATGTGTCCAAGCCTTGGGTCACCATTTCCTGATCCCACGTCTGTTCCCACAGGATATTCTCGCTATCCTCTGCCTCAAAGGCCCCTCGACTGAAGGAATATTCAGGAAAGCAGCCAGTGAGAAAGCCCGCAAGGAGCTGAAGGAGGCGCTCAACTGCGGGGGAACGGTGGACCTGGAAGGGCTGCCCGTACACCTGCTGGCCGTGGTCTTCAAGGTGAGCCACCACACCTGGGTCAGAGGGCTCCGCCTCCACCGCCTCAGGCAGCAAGGAGCAGGCTCCTCTCCCTACAAGGCACACAGCCGAAACTGGAGTCTCATTACTGTAGCTGAGCCTCTTGATTGTTAAAGCACGCTGCTTTAACAATCCCAGATTTCATTCCTCCAAAATGTTGGAAATTTCCTTGTCCCGGGCCCAAACCCATACCCCTAAATCTGTACCCTCGGAATTCACCCCTCTGGAGATGGTGTCTCTTCCTCTCCCTGTGGTCAGGAAGCTCCTGACACAGCATGAGCTTGAGCGAGGTTTCCTCAGATGAACCACAGGCAGGATGCGGGGATGGATGCTCAGTGACAGGGCCAGCTCTGGCACCTAGAGGTGGAACAGAAGTCAGGGGAAGTAAGACCGCACACAACACGGGGTGTAAACAGCCACACCCGCTTTTCCCCTCCAGGACTTCCTCCGGAGCATTCCCCTGAAGCTGCTGTCCTGTGACCTCTTTGAAGAGTGGATGGGCGCCCTGGAGAAGCAGAACGAGGAGGACAGAATTGAGGCCCTCAAGCAGTAAGTCCTCAGAGTCAGGAGGCAGGGCCCAAGGGTCTCCATTTTTTGCTCGCTCATAAAACTGGCCAAGTGCACCGCAATCCATGTTTCCCCGAAATTGTGACCTGGGGGAATTAGAGTGTAATTGCTCATTCACTCCCAAGATAAAAACCAGGAGGTTCCCTGGATTTTTTAAAAGTAGTTTTAGCCAAATAGAAGAAAGTACTTCTTCAAAACATAGAAAATGACTTTAATACTCACAGAGTTCAAGGGGTGGAGGATCCAAAAATACAAAGTGTTCAAAAGGGTATAAGAGAAAATCAAACGTGGAGACTTTAACACAAACTAATCAGCGGAGAGTAGGAATTAGGATTATTCTTAACGACAGTGATTGGTGTCGAGCAAGACACTTCTACCATAAACTTCCCGTAAAGGGTAGGAGAGCCATTTGAAAGGGACTTTTTGTTCATAAAATTCCACTGCATATTCTGTATGTTCTTATAATTATCAAAAAGGAACACTATATGAGACATTCCAGTGAGTCACAATGATTACATATATAAATGACAATGTGACCTCTTGGAGACAGCACTTTTGCCACATCCTAAGGAAGCCTATCTATGTATTAGAAATGTCCCCCACACCAAAACAACTTTGCAGACATGAAGACATCAGAGTGTTTGCCCCACCACCACCAAAAAAAAAATCCTAAGATTATCACAATAATTTTCTACCTAGACATAAAACTCTTTGATAACAACAATTCTTCTGAGAAAGGAAAAGGATCTGTATATTGGGGTCACCATTTCATTCTTTTGAAAAAGTGAGACTTAAAAATCCAATGATTGTCGTTAGTAGTAATGTTTCTATTTAAGTGCTGCCTGGAACCACATTTTTGGAAACATCCAGACAGTCTGACTTATTCTCAGAATGGTATAGAAATGGGTCATCTTGGTTTGGTGCTCACAGTTCAAAAAAAAAAAAAAGTCAAGAAAATCAGTCTTGTAATGTTCAAAGAGAATTTTTACAAAGTTAAATGCTTACTCAACAAAATGGTTTTGAAAATGTAAAGGCACATCCTGGTGTTTAATGCAGGCTCTGTTTCATAATTTAAGATCCATATAAATAATAAAAGGCAGTGCTACTGGTGTCACGGTTCTGGCAACCTTGTGGTTAATCGGTCTCATTCTGTGTCAGTTGCCGCTGAAGTATCTGAATGGGCATTTCACAATATTACTGGGAAAATGCACCTTCCCCATTTTCAAGGAAGTCTGGTTTGGGCAGAAGCTTTGAACAAGCTACAATAAAGCTGGATAGGCCATCAGCCCCCTTAAAAATCACTGTCCCTTCTCTTGATTCCAGGGTTGCAGATCAGCTCCCCCGACCCAACCTCCTGCTGCTCAGGCACCTGGTCTACGTGTTGCACCTGATCAGCAAAAACTCCGAGGTTAACAAGATGGACTCCAGCAACCTGGCTATCTGCATCGGCCCCAACATGCTCACCCTGGAGAATGACCACAACTTGTCATTGGAGGCCCAGAGAGACTTGAACAATAAGGTTGGTTTTGCTTATTTATGAGAAACCTCTGGTTTATGATCTCACCTTCTTTGGCAAAAGCCAAGCAATGAGACACTTCTGGATTTCTCAAAGTGACTCGAGGTCACAGTTCAGGTCTAAAATGCAGAGTGCTATTGTTGTGGCTCTGCTCTCTTAGAGGCGTGGAGGAAACTGAATAAATCTGTGTCCTGTCTTCCTGGGAGACAGAGAACATCACACCCCCTGGGTAGGAAGCCCTCTTGTTTCTGTCTGTGCTTTGGGACCAGGACCCAAAGCACTCAGGCAGTCCAGCTAGCAATTTGGGAAACTATCTGCTTAAACAATATTTTTTGCATTTTCACAGTAATATTATGAAATGTCCACTCAGATACTTTAGTTATTTTAAAGTCAGTTTTTAAAAAATTCTTCCATTTAAAAATGCATAACTCAAAACACATATATCTAACTTGAATGTATATTGTTACCAAATTCCAGTATGCTCTAGACTCATTTGGGCACCTCCCTAGTAGTTGACTCCAGTGTGTCCTCCTTCCTTGCCTCTGTCCTAAAGCAAATGGCCCTAAAGTTTACGATCTGCTTGTTTTTTCTCCAAAGGTAAAGACATTGGTGGAATTCCTCATTGACAACTGCTTTGAGATATTCGGGGAGAACATTCCAGCTCATTCCAGCATCACTTCTGATGACTCTCTGGAACACACTGATAGTTCAGGTATAGAATGTGCTCTCATTCGATCGTGATCCTGGGGAGAAATTTGTGCCAGTCCATACTAGTGTCTCCCTGGTATTTAAAGAATGTGCCTTTACAATCACCAATCAGACTGGCCTCGAGTCTATAGGAAAGTCAGGAAACCTGAGAACCTTGCTCCCAAATTTCTTTCTAATATCTCTTCCGTCACTCTTTTAGCCTGAGTCTGAAACTTTTCTCCTTCATATTCTAGATCTCAAATAACTGCTAACTTTACTACGTAACCTTGAACTATAGATCTGGGTAAGAAACTTTAGTCTCTATGTAATGAAGTACAAGTCTATTAAAATGGAAATGGATCCTACAAAGGAGCCATTCAAAGGATTAGTTTTAAGATTTAAAATAAAATTTAAAAAAAATTCAGTGAAGACTGTCCTTCTTCCTTCTTCTCCTTACTCTTTCTCTCTTTCCCTCTCCCTTTTTTCTTCCTCCCTCCCTCATTCATTTCTTCTTTCTTCTTTACTTCTTCCCATCTGAAATAAATTTGGAAACAAAATTTTAATGTGATAAATTTCTTGTCACATCACGCTCCAAAACAGTTCCACCAAATCACCTAGAACCGTATTGGGCATGAATAGGGTGGGCTCTAGTAAATATTATTTCTTTAAGAACTTGAACACAAAGCTCAACTCTTCATTGACTTTCCCCAGACATGTCGACCCTGCAGAACGACTCAGCCTACGACAGCTATGATCCTGACTTTGAACCCACCAGTGCCATCCACAATCCCAGCAGGCATCCCCAGGTTCCCACAGCCATGGCTGCCGGTCTGGACAACAGAGGGCCCCAGGACACCTGTGAGTTAAGCCCAGAGCCCATTGTGAGCACAGTAGCCAGACTGAAACGCTCCATCAACCAGGCAGACAGGAGGTTCTCAGAACCCAGCCCGCCACCCTCACAAGAGTGCCTTGAGAGCCGGATGACAAACCAAAAACTAACCAAAAGTGAGGATGACTTCACCGCGCCCCAGGCCAGCCCTCATTTGGAAAGCGAGGACACGGAAGACCCGTTTCCAGAGGAGGTCTTCCCTGCAGTAGAAGGCAGAGCCAAGAGACCAGTGGACCTGATGATCAAGAACTCAACCCAGAGTTTGCCTTTGCTGCAGGGACCAGGACCCAAAGCCTTCTCCAGCGGCTCCCTGGGTGGGTCCTCTGACAATTCACCATCAGCTTCTCCTTCCTGTCCCAAAAAAAATTTCTTCAMCAGACACCAGTCTTTCACCATGAAGACTGAGAAAAGCAAGCCCAGCAGAGAAATTAAAAAGCACTCCCTGTCATTTTCCTTTGCCTCTCACAAAAAAGTGCTGCCCAAGACCCCGAGCTGTGAGACCGGGAAACCCAAAGACTTTACCAGAGACCAAGTCAAGAAGGGCTTGAGAAAAGAAAGTCAGCTTGCTGGAAGGATCGTCCGGGAGGGCAGGCCTGACGTCTACAGCCAAGCAGCTGCAGGCTGCGGCTTGCCACCTAGGGCCCCCTCAGTCAATGACGTGTTCCAGATGGTTGACCAGAGGAGCCCAGGAAGCCCGCCATCTTATGAAGAGGCCATTCAGAGCCAGGAGTCTGGACTCTTGGCCTATGGCAGCCAGACCGTGGGAAGTATGCGGGCGAGAATGCTGAGCCAGGACTCCATGCCGCCACCTCCTCTGCCTTCTCACCCTGGAGGAGGCTCCAGGATTGTCTGCCATGAAGAAGCACTTAGTGGACGCAGCCTGTCTTCCATGACTRAGTGCTGGGAACAGGGTGGGACTGTGAGTCCCTCTGGGGAAACTCCAGGGCCTGGAACCACACCGGGGAGGCCTGRGCTTCCCAGGCTAAGGACTGTGTCCGAGTTTATGCAGAAGGACAAGCGGGACTAYCTCAGGCGACGATGTAGCCAGCCCATCTTTGAGGCTGACCAACTCCAATATGCTAGAGAATCCTACATTTAGGAAGGAAGGCCATCGGCCATGACTAGCTGGTGGCATCTCTGTAAATATGTAACTACAGAAAGAACTGCTTGTAGACTGTCTTCAAAAAAGTCATGAATAAGCTCTTTCAGAAAGTTGTATAGAGCCCTCCACGAGGACAGCGGCATGGTGGCACTTCAGAGAGTTTGTGTGCATACCTGGATTTGTGCAATATGCAGCAAATGTATAAAATGTATTATAGACAGGTGATAGGTGCAAGGAATGTCTACCCAATGCCTGAATGCATTTATTTGTGTCTTGTGGTACGTTGCTATTCTTTCCCCCTCGCCCCCGGGGCATATTTTTGTGGGTTAGTGTTTTAAAATCATCTTTGCTTTCTTAATGTTGCCTCAAATRTCATGCCAGTTTTCACATTTTCCACCAATTCCATCTAGGGAAAAATGTTTAAATTGTCAGTGTATATTTACTCTACTAAGGAGGTTTGTTTGTTAACTAACCACAGCAGAAGACAGAAATGGAGTTCAGCGTTCAGAGTTGTCAAAAAACATTAGAAAAAAAGACCATAAAGAAAATTACGAAAACACTTAAATAAGTCCTTTTAAGGACTATCTAATTAAATTAGGATAGATTAGTGGAAACACATTACATCAATATTAACTCACTTAGAGCACTTTGAGTTTTCTTTGTAGTTCAATGGTGTCATGCAACAGTTTGGAGGTAAATGATTTTATATACAAAACTTCAATGTAATTTCACTACAATAAATTACCTTTCTTATTTGCAAGTGAAAATTTTCTTGTTTTTTTTTTTAGGTCTGGGGACTGAACCCAGGGGTCCTCTACCACTGAGCTACATCCCCGGTTCTTTTTATGTTTTATTTTGAGGCAGGGTCTCACTAAGTTGCTGAGGCTGGCATTGAATTTACAATCCTCCTGCCTCAGCCTCCTGAGTTGCTGGGATTACAGGCATAAACCACCACAATCCTGGTTCTTACTGACTTGTTACCTCCTCTCCCTTAATGAATAGAATCTACCAAGAAATTGACTCACACCCTGGTTCATTCAGCAAGCACTTACTGACTACCTGACCAACAGGCCAGCCTGGGTACCTGCACTCAGGAAGACTCAGCCCTAGTCTCTGGGAGTTTGCAAAACCATAAGAAAGTGCCCACTATAAGCCACTTTCTCAATGGGCAGTCATTCAGAGGCCAGAAAAATTTAGTACGCCAATACTGGGTAGTATAATAAATGCAAAATTTCCCATTTCAAGTGATTTAGGCTTTTCAGTGCTTTTACATATCTTATCTCATTTTTATTGATGCTCAATTTGCTTAATTGTTACCAAGTATAATGATAAAACATGTGACATATTAGAATTTTCCTGGTCAGTGATAAAGATATTTATCCAATATCTTAGTGAACTTTTAGCTCTGTGTTTGTCAATTTTTTTTTCACAAAATACTGTGTATACTTTTGACATGTTACAGTAATATTTTTGTGTTGGCTAACTACAGAATAATGAAGATCCCTTCTTTTCAAAGGTGATTTATTAATAATGTTGCGCAATGTTAGCCACATTATAAAGCAGATTGCTCAAGGCAACTGCTCAGGCCTGATATTAAAAATACTCTAGTTAGTCCCTGTAATGGGGCAGATCCTCCCCATGTGACCGCTAACTGAAGAAGAGCAAGGCCTTTCCAGAGTTTAGCACAATTTAGGGACAAGATATAATGCCTAGGACCTGCCCCTCCAGTGAGCTACTTCCTCYAGCCACACCCCACCTACCTCCAGTTATTATTAATCCATCAAGGGGATTAATCCACCCATGAGGTTACAGCTCTCATCATTTACAGCAAAAAATAATTTTAGCATTCACCATCTATAAGACACTATGTTAAGTATTTCAGTGTTTGATAACATGTGTTTATAGTTACATAGAGAGATTTGTAGATCTATATGTAAATAAACATATCTTCCACTATGGTCTTAGTAACTTCTTAATGGGAATCAGAGAATTCCCTTCAAAAGGTCACTAAGACTATGAGTTAGGAAGCATCAAATGTGTCCCCACTTTACCACTGATCTGAGCTCCATGGGATCTTACCCAGTTTATGGAAATCATTTCCAAATTTCTTTATTTTTTTWWWAAAAAGTAGGGGCAAGAGCTCTGTTCCTCAGTAGCAGAGCTCTTTCTTTCCCAGCATGCATGAGGCCCTGGGTTCAATTCCCAATACCACCAAAAATAAATAAATAATTAAAATTAAAAATAAGAAGTGGGAGTGAGCCTGGCATTCCCCGGCACATGTGAACCACGCTGTTGGCAGACGCTTATGGCTCCTGGCAGTCAGCAATATCATCCTGGTTACTCTTTGAAGAGTGGRGGAGACGGTGCAGTTACCATCTCAGGTACTGTGTGGTGTGGSAACCCCCTTCCATCCATGTGGGCCATGACTTTTCAATTGGGATTTTCCATACATTCATTTGCAAGGGCTGCTAACAAAGTACCACAGAGCAGGTGGTGCGGCCAGCAGGTAGCTATGGTGGCTCTGAGATCTGGGGTTGCAGGGCTGGGTCCTCCTGAGGTCTGTGAGGGAGGGTTGTTCCAGGTCCCTTCCTTGGCACAGATGGTGTGTTCCTCACGTTGTCCTCCTTCTATGGGTGTCTGTCTCTAAGCTTCCCCTACCTATAGGGACTCTCACTGGTCACATTGGATTAGGGCCCACTCTAATGACAGCACTTTACTTCTTGATAGRCAGGCCCTATCTTCAAAYACAGTCACATTCTGAGGTATGCGTAGTTAAATGTACATATAGTTTTAATAAGTGGGTGAATTTTGATGGGAGGGGGACATAATTCATCTCAGATCACCAAATTTTGCAAAATAGCACTTAAAGATACCTTGATTACACCAACTCAGTTAATGCTTAACCATAACTAGAAGATGGAAACTAAGGCTTCCATCAATATCTGGATGGCACTAGCATGGTACTTCAGTCAAGAATCCAGGAACACCAGGGTTCTGTTCTTCATGGGCATCGTAAGGTCCTGTGTTGGTCAGTTTTCCATCACTGTGACCAAAATACCTGGCAAGAACAACTTAGAGAAGGAAAAGTTTGTTTGGGGCTCAGGGTTTCAGAGTTTCAGTTCATGGTCCGCTGGCTGTGGGCGAGCTGAGGCAGGACATCATGGCCACAGGGCATTCAGAAGAAAGCTGTTCAGTTCATGGCACCCAGAAAGCGGAGAGAGAAAGCTTGTGAGAAGCCAGGGACAAGATATATGCCTAGGACCTGCCCCTCCAGTGAGCTACTTCCTCCAGCCACACCCCACCTACCTCCAGTTATTATTAATCCATCAAGGGGATCAATCCACTGATGAGGTTACAGCTCTCATCATTGCCCAAAAGTCAGACCTCTGGACCTTTCTGCATCGGGAATCATGCTTTCAAAACTTGAGYTTTCAGGAGACATTAAAGATCTAAACCATAACAAGGTGATACCGTGGCAAATGGGGCACTCACAAATGTGCCTGATACCCCAGAGTGAGGCACGTGGTGAAACGAGATTGGAAGTCAAGGCTTCCCCTGGGAAATTTTCTCTCCTCCTAAAGAGAACTAAAGTTGGGTGCTTTTGCTGGAGCCGAGCACCACTGCCATGCCTCAGAGCTTAAACCCAACAAGTACTCTAGTGGCATTGCCCCGGGTCCTCCGGCAGCCGAAGCAGCAGCTGGGATGTGCAGCACTAATAAGTCAAATAATAGCTAAAGGCCATGGTGCTTCCTTGACCAGAGATGAGAACGTCCAAAGAGCTGTTACAAACACTGTGGATCCTCACGAGTGACCAAAAAGGTAGACGGGTGAATGCTCCTGACTGTGACTTCATGGGAAGAACCACCAGAACTTGCTTTCCTCCTGGAGGGTCAAGCCTACAAAAGGCCAATGCACTGGGATCCCACATAGTTCAAGTTTCTCTGTCAACTGATTTATATCATCTCAACTCTTCACCTGCAATGGGAAAATTACTAAAGAGACAGAAATAGAAATAGTTCCTTAGAGATAGAAGTGAATCCCATTTTAACACTCTTTCAGCTGAGGCTGAGACCCTGCATTTCATCCACTCCAGAATACAAACCAAACGTGAGGAAAACCCAGTGGCGTGAAGCGCCTCCCTCTTCCTGTACTGAGAGGGAAGTGCTGTGAGATGAGCAACCCTGCAGAGTGCAAACTCTTGCCAGAAAAAGGAAACACAGGATGTTCACATCTCCGTGGGAATAGAAAGACAAAATGTGGACCCGGTCAGAGCACGCAACCCAGAGCACAGAACCTGAGCTGCGAATGCCCCAAGATCCACTCCCAGAGACAAGGCACTAGGCCCTGTCTGAGCAGCGGTCTCTCCACCTCTGAAATGAGGAAATAGTGACATGCGTGAGCTGGGGAACGCGTGCAGTAGAAATCCCAGACACAGAGGCTTACGCAAGAAGGACAGAGGACCGGAAAGCTGGAAAGTGAGAAGACAGTGCCCAAATCTGCAGGATCCAGTTCACAATGCCAATGCAGGGTGCCCTGTCCCACAATTACCAACAACTAAAAGTGCCAGCTCCCAGCCCTGCCCAGCCGCCCCGAGAGCAAAGAACCTGGATCCCCAGGATATCACGGTCGCCCCCAGGCCTGGACTCCCAGTCTGTTTTGCTTTCAGTAGAGAACCCACACTCACGGCCAGAAGCAAGACAGGTCCTGGCCATTCTGGGGAAGGGTTTTGATGTCACTATTGGGGGAAGCTGAGATCAATTCTCAGACATTTCTTTCCCTGCTTGTTCTTCCTCCCCTTCAATCCTGCATTCAAGTCGCAGCAGTATGATCTCATAAGAAGAGAAAATACTCTGATCCAGCTCCACTGACAATGTGAATGTCATCTTTAATAAGTACCTAAGCATCTTTTTCTTTGGTCTTTCATCAAGATAATGAATTATTTTATTCTTCCATTGGATTATATTTTTGATCAACTTTATTGAGGTGTAACTTATATA